AGGTCCATTTACCATCCATCCATATTATATTATTATTATAACAGTCAGGAGTAGCATACTAGACTTAACTAAAAGTTGCTTTCAGCTTTTTTATGTCCTACTATTTACATTATGTCAGACAGGTATAAAGAAAATCATATGTGGAAGAAATTACTGAATATTCACATCATGAGCGCCAGAGGCTTGAGATCAGACTTTCGAATGTTCATTATGAGGAACTAATTTTTTAACCTAAAAGGAAAGAACCTCGAATTTTCTATTTTGGAATGAGGGATTGCCCTTGACCAAGGCTAACCAAATCAAGTCAAGGATCCCCACAATAGACTTTAGACCACAAAAACTTTAAATACCACCAGTGCACATACACTGAGAATGGACTTTACAGTGAAATAGGAGACAGCAGGAAATCTTTAGAAGTGAACAAAAGTTGCATATTCATTTATTTGGTAGGAGTAGATACCTATGGAAATTATTGGGGGAAAAAACATGTATTAGCACACAATATTGTTCCAAGCAGACTATTTATATATGTCGTAATACATATCTGGAGGGGATCTTTAAGGAATTTTCTCTGAGAAGTTTTGATTTTTATTTTTAGGTTTGAAGGTAAAAACCTCTTCATTGTCAATGAATAATGAAACTAGGATCATTATAAAATACAATCAATCACAGTTAACTCTATTTCTTCCCCTTGTTATTCCAACTTCCACAAATGTAATAAAAGTTAAAATGCCCTAGTAGCTCACCTGGTAGAGCTGGCGCCCCATGAACCATGTCCAGAAGCTCAAGTCTGACCTGTAAGCCCCACAAATATATTCCTCCTTTTGTTTGATGCTATTCCAAAAGGTGTTTTACAGATTCTGAAAAACTCTCATGATGATGATTGAACTCAGTCATCAGATCGCTGAAGGTTGTTGTCATTGATAAGTTATATGTCCTAAGTAAAAAATGTAACAATAAACAAATTCCCCCAATGCAAATGTTCTGGTCTTATGGTGATGTGAATTGGAAGAAGGCATGTAGGAAGAAAACGTTTTGACATACCTATCCTACCAACATATCCTGTAAAGCACACTGAAACTGAATAATCATTATTCTTGTGATTTCTGTGGTCTAAACAAAACAGTTTCTCACTTATTTTTACATTGTATATTCCAAAATATTTTAAATTTATATGCAAAACTTTCTATCTAGAAAAAAAGGTAAAATGGTTATGCCCAATAGTGATATTGCTTTTCTGCTCTTGAGACCTGTTTATATGTTACGGTTTTCACCTTTATAGTGCTGGCCCCTGCTTTGCTGTCCAGCTGAAAATGGTGAAAAAGACATGGTGCCAGTGCAAAAACTGACCAGCAGATGTCAGTACAAGCACATACTCAGGTTAGGAACAACCAATGTCTGATGACACAGACAGGAAAGTCACTGTTGGGACGTACCTAGATTGTATGATTTACAATGTATAACAGTAAAAATGAAAAACCTGAGACCTTAAAGTTCCCCTCTTCTCAAAACTCAGACATTCATCTTGTTCTTAGAGTGTGATGTTTGAATGATGTATG